GGCAGGCAGGAGATCTGACGGTGGCACCATGACTCTCATCCATGGTGCTTGGAGGGCCCTGGATGGCACTGAGAAATCAGGCAAATGCTTGTTAGCAGTTTTGTTGCTTGATGGTGACAACATGTTGCATCGTGCCTGGTTAAGCTCATAAAAAGAGATTGCTTTCACAAAAACAGTTGCACAATACATTATCACCCTAATTACTGTGTACGTTAGGAATTCTGGCCGTAATCATTGTTTATGTTAATGCTGTAATTATTGGGTGTTAAAACATAAATACTGCCTTAATCTGTCCTTAAGCCTTTGCGTTCACTCTCACCATTTGCTGTAGTCAATCTGCAGAGAATGATCTACAATGAGGTCTGTGGGGCATCTGGGGTTCACCAGGTTCGGATCGACTCCCTGTTTAGCTAAAGCATCTCTCATGGCTGCCAGATCCACCATAGCAGGAATTCCCCTGTGAACACAATGGAGCTATCAGGACATATCCAACCTTATGAACAGGCCCAGTTAGCATGCGAATGAAGATAGGGCTGTTAATCTAAATAAAACAAAAAAAAATCAATTTGTTTTTTGTTTTTTCAAATTTTGCAGCCCTAGTCGATTACTCACGTAAAATCCTGTAGCAGAACCCTGGCTGGTGAGAACGCAATCTCGGCCTGGTTCTGCTGCTTCTGCCAGTCCAGAATACTGGAGACATCGTCCGTCTTTATGTAGAACCCGTCACACTTCCGGATGGTGGACTCCAGGAGAACCCGCATACAGAACGGCAGTTTCTCTACAAGAGAAAGAGCCTGTTAGTATTTTTGCAAGACTTTATTTGACATCTGTTTATTTTTATATCTGAAATTCATTGAGTTTAATTACATGTTTTTTTTTGTTTGTTTTCATAACAAGTGATGTCAGCAATGATGCCACTTGCATCTGTGCATGATTTAATTCCATTAAAGCATTGAGTAACTCACCGTATCTGACATCACTCAGCTTCTGTGGGTTGAAATATCGCCGCTCTTCATACTGTTCACTCTGGAGAGTGTCGATCAAATGGCCGAATGGATGTTCTGTACAGAATAAAAGACCTTATTGAGGATTTTGAGATTGAGCTGATAAATCAGAATGAGCTTTATTGCCAGGTATGTTTACACATAGGAATGTCATTTACATAACAGTGACAGGAAAATAATGGCTTGTGTGTTTAAAACTCATTAATCTGATCTGGATTTGGCTTTGACTGTGTAATGTGCATCTGCAATGACCAAACAGAATCAAAACTGGCCCAGATTACAGCAGACCAACATCTGCAAGGCTCATATAACTCAAAGAGACTGTATCGCTTCTTAAACCGCCTCTGTTTACTGGCCTTCACCTCTTCCCTACTAAAGTCCCACTTAGAAGGCACAAGTGTGCCTGTACTGAGAGCTTACAAGCCCAATTCACAACCGTTCAGGGCAGAAACGCAAGCATTAAATGACATGTGAACATTCAATTTAGGGATGCAACAAAAATTCAGTAACAAGAGAAAGAGATAAATGAAAGTGACACGATCCAGGTTCAAAGCCGAACACTGACATTTATAGAAGCATATTATGATCAAAATTCAAACACAAATTAAGTATTTGCATTTCCTAGCTGTGCCTAGAAGCAGTAGCCCTCTTGGTTACTGAGAACAATAATAAACCATTTTCATGTTTTCTCTCATGGAAGAAGGCAGAGAAGGCAGCTTCTGTTACTTAAAAACCTGTCTATTTTCTTTTCAAAACTAGAAAAAAAAACAGTCTTTTTATTCTTTGTTGTGTGCTACCAAGCAGTCTATAGTTAAAAGACACAGAAGTACTTATATTATACCAATTCAGAGTTTTGTGATCACTGTTACTATTTTTACCCTAATTGTGTGTCAAAAAACAACATTTACTGTGTTTTTGGAGTAGACATTGTTTACAGTCAACTATGTATTGAAAAACAGATCCATAATTGTACTGCTATCAACCTCTCTCTCTCTTATTTTTATTAAAATAAATTAACACTTTTAATCAGTAAGGACACATTAAATTGAGCAAAAGTGTGACAGTTCACTAATCAAAGAGAGATCAACAAAACCAAATCCTCATCCGTGGGCATGATATAAACACACTAGTGCTGATGCACAGCAGTGTAGCACAGTATATTGTGACCCTGTGTGACTGCATGTGTGGAGGATGAACACGCACAGACACGCTTATCACTCAGTCACAGCCTGCGTCTGCTGCATGCGTTAGATTAGGTTAGATGAGATCAGATTAAACAGAAACTGCAGCAAAGGAACACAAACCTGCATTGCCACATCCAAACACACAAAACCCATGATCTATATTTATGACATGGAAGATAAAGACACTGGGTGGGAAAGTAAGTAACACTGTCACTAACAGAATCAGATTACAGAAGGATCAGTCCACTGACATGAAAACTAATATGCACAGTTAATTATAATTATACACCTTTTACTTCTAAAAGAAACCTTTTGGCATTGCAGACCTTAAGACTATTTTTAGTACATTTTTTTAGGATAATTCCCTCCCAATGTTACCCACAATGTAGGTTTTTACCGTTTTAGGGACATTTTGTTCATTTTAAGACAATATTTGTCCCATTTATGAAAGTTTTACAGCATTTAAAACAACCTCATATTAAGATAAAGAGGTTTTGTTACAAGCAGTTGTATAACTATTACGAAATATTTAATAACTACAGAGAAAGGCTGTGCTTTGCCCTTAACAAAGTACTATAGTATAGTGACTGAAAACTATAGTAATACTACAAATCAAATGTATACACATAAAAGTACTAAATGATTACCATATACCCATACTACGGTATTTACATAGTACAGCAAGGTAAGAACACTACGGAAAATCGTGGTACATGTCCAGAAAACATGGTAGTACCATGGTGCACATGTGTTATTGCAAACAATACATAATAATCGAGCATTGTACATAACAGGCTGTGTCTCAATGCTAAATGAGCTGCCTGCCTAGACAATATTTTAGGCACCCTACACGCATAAAACAGTTGCTGTCAAGCTCACTAGGCTTTGATACACATCAGTTTGTGATCGATCTGGATGTCAGTCGCTCTTTCGCCGCTAGCCGCACTGCTAACGACAAAGCCGCCTGTTTCATCCTTCTAAAAGTGAATATTTAAGAGCTGTTTTAACACACAATTGTATTAACGTGTGTCTGAGAGGTCGAATGAAGTGTAATGTACTTCTGATGAGCGAGGGGAGGGTCACATAAGCTGCTTTTTGCTTTGGGGGGGTGTCTAGTGTAATGCGCATGCGCAGTAGATAGGAGGCCTCTGTCATTTTTGCATCTTCACCATGAAAACCATGAAAAAACTGTGTCAGAGCCAAAGAACTGATGGAGGACAGAATAGTCATTAATGGTGGTACATAGTGTCTCTTAGATCTGTCATTGAAAAGAGCTGCATCAAGGTAGTATGGTCCCTCAAAATTCAGCAAGTTAGTTTAAAGCTTAAATTATTATTTTCAGAAATAAAAATGTTTTAATTTTTATATTGGATTTCTAATCTAATGCAATTTTGCCACTGACAACATCCCAGTTATTAACACATTATTTTAAACAGGCCCTATTATCAGGTTAATTCTAAATATGATGCTATAAATAAATATATAATATAATATTTATATAATAATAATTTTCTTCCTCTTTAATGTTTACACAACATAAATATAATTTTAAAATAAATATTCATTTAAAACTTTTGTTTTATTTTGACCGGTATAATCCTGAGGAATGTGTGGTATTCTAGTAATTTACAGATAAATATAAAAGAATTACATTGTTTTTAGTAATAAAATTGTGCTTTATCTTTTAAATTCCAAGCCCTATTTTTCTGGATAATTCTAAATATGATGCTATTAATGTTTACTTTAGAACAACAGGGATAATAAAAAAAATAATAAGTATCTATTATTGTTTTTGTTTTTTGACAAGTATAATTCTGTGGAAAGTATGGCATTCTAGTGATTTAGAAATTAATATAAAAAAATAAGATTTTAGAAACATTCAGACTTGCGTGGTGTTCATGGTAAAAAAAAAAAAATGCAATGCTCCAAATAATTATTACATTCTTTTTAGGAATTTTATTTAAAAAACATTTTTTTAATGGTTGGTGATATTTAATTTGTAATCTAATGCAATTGCTAAGCCCTATTATTCTGGTTAATTCCAAATATGATGCCATAAATATGATTTTTAATGTTTACTTTGGAACAATAGAGATGTCATTTAAAACCAAATATTTATTAAAATCTTTATTATTATTATTATTATTATTATTTTGACAGATATAATCCTAGGGAACATATGGCATTTTTAGAATTAGAGATTATTGTAAGATTTTAGAAAACATTTAGATTTACATCATTAATAAAATGTAATTATTTTTATTAATTGTATTGCATTATATTTTTATGATGGATGTTGTTTTATTATCATTTTTATTAACACCATTTTTAGTTTTAAAAGTGATCTTATTTTGTTGTTTGCTCAGTGTGAACTTGTTCATGTTCTTTATTGTAACAAAAATGCATACACAGTTATTAATTTATTATATTAATAATAAATATTTTTACCCCCTTTGTCAAGTATAAAACAAAACCTATGCATAAAATGCATTGGAAAATTGGGAAAAAATAAACCATGAAGGCAGGGTAAACCGTTTAAAGACATTTTAATAGAACCTTCATTTACCAAAAAATAAATAAATAAAATTTAGTTAAGATTAAGAGCTGTTGGGATGTAAAAATGTGCATATTTCACAGATTTCAGATGTTCAATATCTGCTTTTTTGTTTACATCTGTAAAGAAATTATCTCTACAGAGCATATGATTATGGCATAACCCAGCAGTCACATGACCTTTGAACTCTGTACCTTCAGATCTGCAACACAACATGCAGCTTATTTGAAATGTCGTGATTTTGTAATTTCAGGTTGAGCAGGAGAGGAGCGAGTGTGTGTGCGTGTGATTTTGTGTGTGAGGTCACCGGCGGCAATGATGGAACAGAAGCGCAACATTCAGATCATTGAATGGGAAGATCTGGACAAGAGGAAGTTCTACTCGCTGGGCGTCTTCATGACCATGACCACACGGGCCACCGTCTACCCGTTCACCCTGATCCGCACCAGACTGCAGGTCCAGAAGGGGAAGTCGCTCTATAACGGCACCTTCGATGCCTTCTGGAAGATTCTGAAGGCCGAGGGGGTGCGTGGCCTTTATCGAGGGTTCATGGTCAACACGTTGACGCTTATCTCAGGTCAGGCCTACATCACTACCTACGAGCTGGTACGGAAATACGTGTCCTGTTACTCATCCAATAACACTGTCAAGTCTCTGGTGGCGGGAGGCGCGGCCTCACTGGTGGCCCAAAGCATCACGGTGCCCATCGATGTGGTGTCCCAGCAGCTGATGGTGCAGGGTCAGGGCTGTCAGCTCACACGCTTCAAACTCAAGCCCAAGAGAGTGATGGCCACGTCCAAACACAAAGTGACATTTGGTCAGACCAGAGACATTGTGGTTCAGATTTTTCACATGGATGGATCTCGTGGCTTTTATCGTGGATATGTGGCGTCGCTCCTCACCTACATACCCAACAGCGCCGTCTGGTGGCCATTTTATCACTTTTATGCAGGTAAAGAAAATAAATATTTAGTGAGGCTCTAAAATTATTTTCTGACCCAAACACAGAAACCAAAATTTAAAGGGATAGTTCACCCAAAAATGAATATTACCCCATGATTTACTCACCTTCAAGCCATTATAGGTGTATATTACATTCTTCTTTCAGACGAATACAATCGGAGTTATATTAAAAAACATCCTGGCTCTTCCAAGCTTTATAATGGGAGTGGATGGTAGCCCAAAATTTGAAGTCCAAAAAATTTAACCAATCCATTATAAAAGAAGTCCACACGGCTCCAGGGGGGCTAATAAAGGCTTTCTGAAACGACGCGATGCGTTTGTGTAAAAAAAATATCCATGTTTACAACTTTATAAACCTTAATCTCTAGCTTCCGCTAACTGTCGTACGCGCGTTCACGAGAGAGTGCCGTCCAGTGGATGACGTAGCACGTAGGTAAATGTGGTGACGAATGCGGAAGTGACGAACGTGGAACCGCAGAGGAGAGAGCAAAACAAAGCACCGGTCACGAATTAGTAGTACAAAACAAGGATTTGTAACGAAAAATGTCGGAGGATTTCAATATAAGCCAAGAGGACACTTTTTTTTCTTTGCTGTGAACAAAACTTGTTTCTGGCGAGACTTGCATATTCTCATTGGAGTTTACGCTACGCCTATGGCATCCGCTGGACGCCACTCTCTCGTGAACGTGCGTACGACAGTTAGTGGAAGCTAGAGATTAAGGTTTATAAAGTTGTAAATACGGATATTTTTCTTACACAAATGCATCGCGTCGCTTCAGAAGGCCTTTATTAACCCCCCGGAGCCGTGTGGACTTCTTTTATAATGGATTGGTTAAATTTTTTGGACTACCATCCACTCCCATTATAAAGCTTGGAAGAGCCAGGATGCTTTTTAATATAACTCTGATTGTATTCGTCTGAAAGAAGAATGTCATATACATCTAGCAAATCATGCGGTAATTTTCATTTTTGGGTGAACTAACCCTTTAAGTTAACATTTAGCTGAAAACCTAACCAAAAATAGAGTTAAATTAATAATCAACTACATTTATTTAATAATAATTAAATAATAATGAACACTCAAATCAAAACTCAGTTAAAAAATAACCAGCCATTAAAAAAAAAAGACAAAAAATGCAGCTCTTAAATGAAATGTTGCATTTTTGTTACAGTGAACAACACAAACAAGTTTACATTGTTTAAGTTAAGCAAACAATAAAATGGCAGTTTTAATATCAACTAATTAATGGTAAAATTATGTTTCTTTAATTTATTGTTGAAGTATAAACATTTAAACGCAGGCTGTCATAACCTGTTTTCATGACAGACTTATTCAAACGTATTTTTAAAGAATATGACTAGAACATTCGTTAATGTTTAACCTTGAAAACAACAAAGTCTATGCATGAAATGGCTATCATAAAAACTTGTTTTCTTAACAGATTTATGCAAACATGCATTAATTAAGACATGCAATATCCAATATATGTAATATAGTGCATATATTTAGCAAAATGCTCCTTCTAGCTGACTAGCGAGTTTATGAAAATTGTTTTTCTGAGGTAAATATAACGTTATGTGACATGTTGTTTACTGACGTCTTTCCCCGGTTGAAACACTGATTGAGCGATTGCATGAGACACGTATACATACCTTCTGATGTTCATTCATGCTGATTTCTTACTATAACTAGCAGTAAAGAGGAAGAGATGATGGATTCACGTGCTGCCTGAACTGAGGCACATTAACGCCACATTAAAGTGCGCCACCTCTATGAATTTCCTGATAAAATTGACAGAATTTGAAAACGCAGACTTTGTTTCATATTCAAAGTAACAAAGCACAAATAAGTGGAGAAGCGCTAATTAATGAAACGTCACTGTTCCGGTCAGTGATTTCGGTTCTCCAGTATATTTTGGGTTGCCGAACTAAAATATGTAATTTCCTAAACGCTCTTACTGAGTCACATGAAGCCTGTGGGTGTGTGTTTCCAGAGCAGCTCTCCAGACTGGCTCCTGCTGACTGTCCGCACCTCCTCCTGCAGGCCATGGCGGGACCGATGGCTGCAGCTACAGCCTCCACCCTCACCAACCCCATGGACGTGGTCCGAGCCCGAGTACAGGTACAGACTCACCCATAACCTGCTGTAATTCATATCATTTATTGTTATTATTTAAGTGTACCGTTTAAAGGTTTGGGGCAGTAAGGTTTTTGAAAGTCTCTTATGCTCACCAAGACTTTTATCTGATCAAAAGCACAGTAAAAATACTGTGAAATATTACAATTCAACATAACTTTTATGTAAATATATTGTAAAATGTCATTTATTCCTGTGATGCAAAGCTACATTTTATTTTTTCTTCTTCAGTGTCACATTATCCTTTAGAAATCATTCTAATATGCTGATTTGTTATAATTATGTTAGGATCTTTTGATGAATAGAAAGTTCAGAAGAACAGCATTCATTTGAAACAGAAATATTTTGTAACATTTTAAACGTTCAATCCTAAATAAAAACACATTTTTCACAACAAAATCTCACTGACCCCAAACAACCCGAACAATAGTGTATTAAAGATAATATTCTTCATTTTTATTTATTTACATAATGTTGAACTGTATAAAATACATCTATTTAAATCAGGATTATAGTTAAACTATACTTGAAATAAAGTAAATGTTAGCTGAAATAAAAATAAATCATAACTCATATTTTGGCTAGTAGGCAAGGCACCATTTATCATTTACTTTTAGTTTTACTTGAAGTACTAAAATAACAAAATCTAAATGTAAAAAAAATAAAACTAATAAATAAAAATTAATTAAAAACTATTATAGACAAAAATGACAAAACACAACTTGAAAAAATGACTAAACCTTGAGCTAAAAATAAAATGAGAACAGAAAAAAAAAAATATTCAAAATATTAACAAAAACTATAATAGAATATCAATATTAAAATAACACTGATTTAATTGAATATATTTATGTATTATCATACATACAAGCACAATTTTTTTTTAAATTAATCTTTAAGTCCATTTATAATCTAGCTATAGAAGTCCAGCTTTGTCTGTGCTGTTTTCTGATCCTCACAATAAAACTATTTTTGCTACTATATCTTTAAGACATCTGTATGTAAATAACAACTGTGTAATACTGATGTTGTTCACATTGTTAATCATCAGGATGACGTTGCTTTATAGTAGTATTTGATCATTCTATGTTAATGTACTCATAACCATGATGAATTCTGAATGAGCCATTTTTGCTATATTTACAATACATCACACTTATATTTCAAAAGCACAAAACGGTTCTTGTTTTGAAATGGCTCATTAAAATGATTTATCATGTCATTATTACTATGGATTTAAGCTTTGTGAGTTAATACACTGTGTGTGTTTGCAGGTTGAAGGTCGCTCGTCTGTGATGGAGACATTTAAGCAGCTCCTGGCTGAAGAGGGCGTGTGGGGTCTCACCAAGGGTCTGTCTGCACGCATCATTTCCTCCACGCCCACGTCAGTCATGATCGTCATCGGTTACGAGACACTAAAGAGACTCAGTCTGCGGCCTGAACTGGTGGAGAGCAGACACTGGTGAAAACACACATACCTCGGTCTTTTAAACAGATGCCTTTTATTATTTTCATGTTTTATGAGGACCAGGCAATAATTGGCGCTCAAATGTGAAGTTATATTTCCTTTCTGACTTTTTTGTGGATTTTGTAACCTGTTGTCATGAAGTCGTCCAGCCCGAACTAGTATTTTGTAACAAGACGTCATAGATCTCGTTTGTCCTTTTCGCCCGGAATGTGTTTGTTTATCGGAGGTTTTGAAGTGAAAATCATTTTGAAATGGTGAATTTGATACTTTCTTGTGAATCTCATGCAGTGCTCTTCACGTCATCTGACAGGAAGTGAGATCATCACATCTGTTACATGGTAGGAAGAATGAGAACATGTATGGGCTTTTCACACTTGAAACCCTGGGTCATGTTAAACCCTAACAAATTATTCGGAGTAGTCAGTTTTGTCTTATTTGCATATTTACAAGGTTATTAATATTGTTTGGACGAGTGTCTTCTGAAACACACTAAATAGTCTAATTTATTACTCCAGTTTACATATTTAGTCGTGGTTTGATATTTTTTAAGTATTGACCTCAGACACTTGAATAATGTGTAAAAGTAAATATGATGAACAGTAAATATTTCACTGTGCTCATGAATATTTAATGAGGTGAAAATTGACTAAACATGTAACTAACATTTCCATTGTGCTCATGAATATTTAATGAGGTGAAAATTGACTAAACATGTAACTAACATTTCCATTGTGCTCATGAATATTTAATGAGGTGAAAATTGACTAAACATGTAACTAACATTTCCATGGTCATGAAAAATCTGGAAATATCAGTACATATTAAAATTAACAAGGCAATTCATTTTGAAATTCATACCTGGAAAACGTAAAAATTTTTTTATAGTAAATAAAAATTTACTAATTCTATATTAAGCTCAGGTCTTAAACATTTCATTGGCCTGAAACTGCTCTTCAAGTGTAGTTACTATGAAATTATTGTACAAAAATGACTGTGAAATCGTGTCAATTAATTTTAAAAGTGGCCTTTACCCAGGGTTAAACATGGTGTGAAAAGCCTTGTGAGAAAAGTTAGAAAGCATCATGTTCTGCAGAATGATATTTCAGTCTGATTGAATCTTCTTTGGTTTGTCATATTGTGTTTTTATCATGCCTTGTCTTTAACCTTCAGAAAAACAGTGTTTTGGGGCCAAAGCTTTTACAGTTGAAATGTTTTAGAAATGCGCTTCATATTTTAAATATAACTGCCATAGTAATTTTTTTCTATAAGATTGTTTCTAACTGGATCTTATAGTGTCACAATCAAGAGTGAATTAAATGAACCAAACAAGAATGAAACCATTTGGAATTTTTTTTTTTAGCTTCTAGATTTTCTCACATGCTCTACAAAGGGTTCAGCATTCAAACAAGTTCTGCTTTGGATCTTTATGTATTATAATTCATTTTTACATGTCTGCTATAACAGTCCAAAGCAAGGACTCTGAATTGGTGCAGTAACATTTGGTGTCCTGTAGAGGGCGGATAGTGATCAGCAAAGCCACGTGTGCACTCAAGTCATGTGAAAAAAAAAACTGGAAACATCAAGGAGTTAAACTATAACGAATATAAATCTCATAATAAAATGTGTATCCAACTAAAAATGTCATGCAACATCATCGATCATTGAATGTGTGAATCGTGAACAGGATAAACAGCAACAACAACAAAAAAGAACTAGGAAAAAAAAGACATTTATTTGTAATACCATATACAGATGTTGAATTTAGCAATAAAAAAAAAAGCATTTGCATGTTTGCTGTGGTCTTGAGAGGGTGTGACTCTTACAGAGCTTCATCAGGGGGCTGTAGTTTTGTGGAGATTCACATGGGACAGTCGTAAATGTGGATGGCTCTGTCATCACCTGCAGAGACGATTTTGGAGCCTGTGGGGTTGTACTTCACACTCCAAACCTGCACACACACACACACACACGAACATGAGCATGCATGATTCATGCCCTTCAGAAACTAAAACAAACCGTGATCTGCTTATAAACCAACAATACAGTAAAAACATTATTAATGTGAAATATTACGATTTACTCTTTTCTATGTGAATATATTTAAAAAAGTTATTTATTCCTATGATGGCAAAGCTGAATTGACTCCAGTCTTCAGTGTCACATGATCCTTCAGAAATCATTCTAATATGCTGATTTGCTGCTCAAGAAACATTTCTGATTATAAACAATGTTGAAAACAGTTATGCTGCTTTATATTTTTATGGAAACCGTCATACATCTCTCACCTGGTCCTGATGATCAAAGAATGTGTTCACACATGACCTGCTGCTTGTGTCCCACACTTTTACACTCTTATCAGACGAACTAAAACAGAAACAAGTAACAGTTAAGAACACACAAACGACATTTTACATTTTCTATTCATCTGAAGTGCATCGACTCTTGCCTGGACACGAAGTGTGTGTCGTCGGGTGAAAAGGCCACGCTCAGCACCCAGGATCCGTGACCGCTGAGAGTGCCGGCCAGGTTAGCGTGCTGCCTGTGAGACACACACAAACAACCAGACTGTGAGATTCAAATCAAATGTGTTGGAAGGTGAAAGATGCACACAAATTTGCAGCGTACACGTCATAAATCTTGATGTAGCCATCATCTGATGCGGTTACCAGCAGCTGAGAGTCTGGAGAGAAAGTCAGAGACCTGATTGGCATCGCATGACCTGAAGGAAAAAAAAAGAGCATGTCTTCTTGTTAATCCCACAGTTTGGCTACTGTACCTTTAAGATGTCTGTATGTAAATAGTGTGGTATAAACAGTAATAAAGTCTGCATTTATTTGATCAAAAATACAGTACATAGAGGATGGAAAATGGGAAAATTGTACAATTTAAATTAGCTGTTTTCTATTGTAACATATTTTATATAAATATTAATTTCTGTGGTGCAAAGCTGAATTTTTCAGCATCATTACTTTCATCATTAACAGTCTTTAAAATGTTACAAAATATTTATATTTCAAATAAATGCTGTTCTTTTAAACTCTCTATTCCTCAAAGAATCCTGGAAAAAAATTTTTTGCCACATATAAGTGTAATAATATTTCACAATATTACTGCTTTTACTGTATTTCTGATCAAATAAATGCAGCCTTGGTGAGCATTAGGGTTGTGACGGTGAGGAAATTTTCCCACCGGTTAATCGACGTGTGACAACACCGGTAATACCGGTATCACCGCGGGGGCGGGGGCGTTCCCTCTTTTTCTCGCTTTCCTTCGCTTTTAAATAGCTTAAAAGCGCCGTGCGCATTTTACTTTCACTTTCGAATTAGCGGCAGTTCGGCGTCAATTGCTTGAATGCAACAACAAAATACAACGTCAAACTCACTTTAGCGTTTATATAAAACATAGAACTTTTATTAACAAAACAAATAAAAATACACCATGCTATAGGGCAGGCTATGCCTAATATAAAATAACAAATAACTTACATAAAGTTTAAATAGGTATACAAACTGATCTGTGATGCGACTGTCGTTCGGCACGCTGCATTGAGCAGCCGCGTTCAGTTTTTAATCGTAGTGTCTGTCAAAAAAATCTAAATCAAAAAAATCAAAACGACGGTGGGGGTTGGTGCCGCAGTGGGCAAGTGACGTAACCGGTGTTGCGGCTTAACACCGGTATCACCGTCTATCGCGGCAAGCCTAGTGATCATAAGAGACTTATTCCAAAAACATTAAAAAAAAAAAAAATCTTAATTATTATACCTTATGACCACTAGTGTAGTACAATAAAAACTGAACTGCATCTAACGTTCAACATTACTTCCAGCTGTACTTGGAGCAAATGAAAGGGATGAGTGAGCGATGGTGTGACGCAGGAAGACAAAGAGGAAAAATGGAGTCGCTCTGCGACAGGAGCCGAAGTTTACGACCCTTGAGGGACGGCCAGAGACGCAAACAGGTTTTTCCACCGCATTCACGTAACCCATAATCACCCTAAATGCATCTAGCAGACTAACGGACAGAACGTCTACAGAGCGTTTTAATAGAGGAAACTGAAGACAGCATGAATCATGTGGGAGACGATTTTCACCTTCCAGCGTGTGCAGGAGTTTCCCAGTCGCAATATCAAAGATATTAATGATTCCGTCTATAGCACCACTGGCTAAGTACTTTCCATCTGGACTCTAGAGAGAGCGAGAGAGACAATTATTAGGGCTTGGAAAACTTTATATTATAAGTTTTTTATGATCCAATTCAGTACAAAAGCATAAAATGATTCTAGCCTAACACTTCTGTCCACTGAATATTTTGTTTTTTGTTTGACAGAAATAAGACATCAGTGCCATTGGCTTTAGATGAGATTAATGTTGCCCATGCAGCATTGCTCCAGATACTCAGAGACTCTTACGTAAGCGATGCTCAGAATGAATTTCCCTCTGGTGTCCAGGGAGTGCTCCTTTTTCCCACTTTCCACGCCGAAGATGTTGACCTTCCCTAGATGGCTGCCAGTGGCAATGTATTTGGAGTCAGGAGAAAAGGCAACCGTCGGCTAAGTACTTTCCATCTGGACTCTAGAGAGAGCGAGAGAGACAATTATTAGGGCTTGGAAAACTTTATATTATAAGGAAAATCAGCATTTTCTCAAATATTCATTCCAATGTGTAATGTGAATGAAATTTGGACTGTCATTTGTGAAATCAGTTCCTTTTTGAACACTGATGCTGACTGTTACACTGACACTAATTTACATATTTCCCACAATTTTTATCCAATACATATTCATGACTTCATACTACTTCATATGTGGTTTGATTACTGGATTATGATTTTTAAGACTTTTTTAATAATAGCAATTACACTCAAGAAACCGTTTCTTGCTGATAAAATATTTTAGAGCTGAGCATGACAAAAACATTTATGTTCAATATAGACTTAAAAATGTTTTAATTTAATTTAATTCATTTGAAACCTTTTTATTTAGCATTTCAGCAAGACAGAAAAAATTAAACTTTTTGTATATAACGAACAAGAACATATTCTAAAAAAATAAAGAAATAAAAATTTATAAATAAAAAGTTATTTTTCAAAATGAAAATGTGATATACAGGGAGTGCTCCTTTTTCCCACTTTCCACGCCGAAGATGTTGACCTTCCCTAGATGGCTGCCAGTGGCAATGTATTTGGAGTCAGGAGAAAAGGCAACCGTCCAGGCGTCAACTGCAGATGGTATAGAAAGAGTTCATCAGTGTTATTTTAGTGTATTTATATACTAGAGTTTTACTTTTATATTTTTATGTTTTCATTCAATTTTTAAAAAATGTAATTTGAAGTTTTAGCAATTTTTTCTGTCTTTTTTCTGTCTATATACTTTTTTTTATTATTACGTTTACATTTATTTAGTTCATTTTTAAACTTTTAGTTTTAGTATTTTAATTCAAGCATTAAAAATGGTCCGATATTAATTTTAGTTAATGATAACCTTGCGTCACACTCACGCATTTAAAGCGATCTTTAAAAATAAATAAATACATTCACAGCTCACCTGGGCCTGCGTCCATGGACTTAATCTGTTTGCCTGTCTCCAGATCCCAGAGCCGAATATGAGCATCAAGAGAGCTGGAGGCGGCAATCGCTCCATTTTGACTGATGTCCACCGACACCACACCCAGCTGGTGACCCTCCAGCGTCCACTGCAACTCCAGCTTTTCATCCGACCTGCGAGCCATCACAACAAGTGACGTATGTTCAGAAACAAACTTTTTTAATCACTAGTTGATGCTTTGATTGCACTGTATTCACTGATTTACCATTTCCACACTTTTACCAGGTCGTCCAAAGAGCCGGTCACGATGGTTTCTGACCCGTCCTTCTCGCTGCGACCCCATGCCGCGGTCCAGATGGCATCTTCGTGAGCTGCAGAAACAGAGATTCTTTGGCTGTGCCCAAATATGTTGCCCAAAAAAATATTTTTGGCCTCTAAATCAGAACAGATGACTAAGTGTGTGTGTACTCACCATGCTCCTGCTTAAATAGAATACTGTACTAAAAACAGAACAATTAATATTTTTATATTTATACCACATACAATCATTATTCTGATCACCATAGATACAATAAGCCAGAAAACATGCAGGGGTGTGTTCATATTAGAGATGAACTCACTTGTGTGCTCATAGTCTTCGTTTTAAAACCTGTTTGTAATGGAAAGTTTCTAAGCGCGTGTGTGAGCTGGATTATGAGTTATTCTGAGTTTATAAACTCACTTTATGCACAGCTGCTAGCGTAGTTTAGTTTATGACTAAATAAACTGCCTCTGTGAGCGTTCGACGCGTCCTGAAGAGGTTTTAGTGCGTCCGCGGAAAAGTCGGATAATCCTTAAGATTCTTTACATGCATCCGATGAAAAATCAAAGCGATTTATTAACAATAATAAACACCCGCACTGATGCTGCCTAGAGAGCCGCCATGACACCTGCGCGCAAAGTACCATGGGAACAACCGTCTGACTCCGCCCTCCCTGTACTGGCTTTCAAAACGTGCATGTTACATGCAATATTATCAAAGCATCAATACAAAAGACAGATGCCATTGATAGTAATAAAATAGTGGTAGTAGT